CACATCTTGTTAAACCTAAGCATAGAAATGAACACTTTCCCCTGTATCTTTGGGTCTTCATCCCGAAGGCTCCCATGTATACACATTATATAAATGTATATGCGTTTGCTCCAATTAATCTGCCTTTTGCAAGTTGATTTTTTCAGCGAAACTTTAGAGGACCCTTGGCCTCCATAGATAAAATATACAGGAAGTTGAAATGCATGAAATTGACATCAACCAATTAATGTTGTAACTTGAATTTCTCCTGGAAATGGTGTCATAATGCCAGAGCCACAATGCTGATAAAATAACTACCAGTATACATAGCATTCTGGTGTACTTACCACCTGCCAGGCACTGTGTTGTATACATAACATTTCATGTAATGCCCATGACCCCTGCTACAACATATGTGTTAGGGTATAAAACATATACTTATATATAGAGTATATGTAAGGTATATGGATAAAATTTTATAATTTTCTAGACAATTAAACAGGTTCAGAGTAAATAATGATCAGAAGAACCCTTGTATAGTTCTTACTATGTGTGGGCACAACTATAAACCCTTTATGCATATTACTTATTTAATCTTCACGGTAACTGTATAAAATAGGTGTAGTTTTTTTCCCCCCTAATTTAAAAATAAGAAAAATGAGGCTCAGAAATGTTAAATCACTTGCCTAAGGAAAAAGAAAAAACTCAAATTCCCATGGCTGGCAAATGAGAACCAGAATTCAAACCTAGGCTGGTAAGTTTCCAAAGCTCAAGATCTCATGCCTGAATATAGGACAGCATGGCTGAGTTTGTCTTGGACAGAGGCCTAAGAGCAGAGGCATTAACACTTACCCCAGGAGTCCGGAAGTGTTGCCTAAGGCAGCTAGCTGCCAGTGTGAACTTTGAAGCCCTGTGTTTTATCTTAGAAAATTTTGCATTCTACGTCATAATGTGTGTGTGGGTATTTATGTGTGTGTGTGTGTGTGTGTGTGTGTGTGTATATATATGTGACAAGTCTCACTCTGTTGCCAAGGCTGGAGTACAATGGTGTGATCTTGGCTCACTGCAATCTCTGCCTCCCAGGTTCAAGAAATTCTCCTGCCTCAGCCTCCTGAGTAGCTAGGACTACAGACATGCGCCACCATGCCCGGCTAATTTTTGTGTTTTTAGTAGAGATGGGGTTTCACCATATTGATAGGATGGTCTTGATCTCGACCTTGTGATCTGCATGCCTTGGCCTCCCAAAGTGCTGGGATTACAGGTGTGAACCACTGCACTCGGCCCATAATGTATATTTTTAACATAAAAAGTAATGTTTTGAGTTTGAGTGTTTTTCTCAAAGCACTGAGGAACAAAAGATGCTCCTAGAAGCCATACTGTGCTCACCCCATGGCTTTTCCTACCTCCCGGACCACAGCTTGGTGTCCTGAGTTTCTACATAGGTACCCCACAGTGAGAATGGCTGAAGTTGAAAGAACATGGGTTTCAGAACAAGCCAGATCAGAGCTCAGATCCTGACTCCATTTGGCAGCAAGTTCTGTGCCTTTGTCTCAGAGCCACAGGTTCTCAACATCTGTAAATCAGAGATAATAATGCATGCTTGTCAGCGTGGGGTGAGGCACCTGTCACTTAGTAGGACTTGGATAACTGGCACTTTTCCAATTGTCTCCTTATGGCTTGTCATGCCCTCATCATCCAGCAGCTACTATGGGTCCACTGCTGTGCTGAGCAGATCATCTCCATGGCCTTCCAGTTTTTGGGTGTTGGTGGTTTTGGAGCTGCTGTTCATTATTCTTGGGGAGGAACTCTGTGGGTATTTGATGCTCCTGATAAGCCTATGGCATCCATGGCATCCATGGAGCTTAGGTGAGAGTTGGGGGCTTTCTCTCTTCCTTTTGCTCAAAGTTAGATATCCCCTTGGCTTGGAAAAGGACATGTTTCCTGTTGACTGATAGCTTTGCTCAGAAGAAAGATCAGCTTGAGGTGCATTAATAATACACACTATTATCTTCATATTATATTCACAACATAATATATGCATATTATATTCAAACCTCTGCTTCAAACACTTCCCAAGACCCTCTAAACCTCCAACCAAGGCTTACACAGAGAGGAGAATCAACTAGTCAGGTGGGATATGGGAGGGGACACAAGGAGTTCTCATCATTTAGGGAAACTTACACTTGCAGGAAAGCCAGTTCTGAATTGTAAGACGATGCTAACGTGGTAAAATATGACCATTGGGAACACTTTGTCACACTCATTGCAATGGCGATAAGAAAACAAACTAACAAGTATATGTGAGGATGTGGAGAAATTGGAATTCTTTTGCGTTGCTGGTAAGAGTGTAAAATGGTGCAGCCACTGTGGAAAACAGTATGGTGATTTCTCAAAAAAAAAAAAAAAGCTAAACATAGAATTACAATTCTATACAAATATAATCTCACAATTCCACATCTTTTTTTTTTTTTGAGATAAAGTTTCGCTCTTGTTGCACAGGCTAGAGTACAATGGTGAGATCTTGGCTCATTGCAACCTCTACCTCCCGGGTTCAAGTGATTCTCCTGCTTCAGCCTCATGAGTAGCTGGGGTTATAGGTGCCTGCCACAATGACCAGCTAAGTTTTTGTATTTTTAGTAGAGACAAAGTTTCACCCATGTTGGCCAGATTAGTCTTGAACTCCTGACCTCAGGTGATCCACCCACCTCGGCCTCCTAAAGTGCTGGGATTATAGGCATGAGCTACCGTACCCGGCCCAAAATTCTACTTCTAAGTGTGTACCAAAAATAATTGAAAGCAGAGACTGAAAGAGATACTTTGCACACCAATTCATAGCAGCATTATTCACAAGAGCTAAAAAGTGAAGCAACCCAAATGTCTATGGACAGATGAATGAATAAACAAAATGTAGTATATGCATGCAATGAAATATAATTAATTCAGCCTCCAAAACAAGTTCTTACACATGCTGCAACATGGATGAACCTTGAAAACATTATGCTAAGGATATAATTCCACTTATATGAAGTGCCCAAAACATTCAAATTCATAGACACAGAAAGGGAATAGTCATTACCAGGGCCTAGGGGAGGGGCTATGAAGAGTTCCAGTTTAATGGGTATAGAATTTCAGTTTGGGAAATTGTCCTGAAAACGGACAAAGTCCTGAAAACGGATGGTAGTGATGGTTGAAAGTCATTAAACTCTATCCATTGCAAATTAGTTCAAATGCTAACTTGCATTTTATGTATATTTTACTAGAACAAAGAAAAATTTAAAGAATGCATTAAGAGTAAAAATAACACGATTGGGCTTGTTTTGTTTTTCTTTTCCGTTCTTCATTAGAAGATTTGGAAGTTAAATCCTTCCTTGCCTTTGAAGAAAAGGAAAAAGTAGCTTTAGGCTTAGTAGGGCCCTGGGCTTCTTATCAGAAAGCTTGAGCTGGGGTCTGTGGGGTAGTGAAGGCGGCCTGGAAATTGAGCTTGGAAAACTGGCCGGTCACCTGCCCAGTCTCTTGGTTAGGGCTCTTGTTGCTTGTCCCCGCTGAGTGGTCAGGCAGACAGCCAGTCTGCAGAAGCCATGACAAGGCCAACAAGAGATAAAAGCTCGGAAAGAAGGGTAGAGGAAGTTTCTTTCCTGTGCGGGTGCTTAGTATCCACAGCAGCAGTGAGGCTTTGGGGAAATCTAAAGGCTGGGGATATGTACCCTCTGCCAGCAGGTGTCATGACCAAGTCTTCTCCCTGAGAAACCCTCTGTGATGTATGCAGACTTTGGGGTATTCTTGCCTTCATCTTCTGATGCCTTTGTTCAGTCACTGTTGCCAGTGAAACAATTCAGCAAAGGTTGACTGAGAACGAATGAGAAGGGAGAAGGAGGGTTTTTCCAAGGAGACAAGAGAGATGGTATTGGTGTGTTCAAATCAATGTCCTGGAGAAGTACCAGGGTGAGTAGACCTAGCCTTCTTTCTACAGCTTCCCAGGCTGCAGGGAGGAGAGGAAAAGGAATAAATGTATGTGGTAAGACCCTAGGGTCTACAGATTATGAGGTCATCAGTAGAAATAGAGACAGCCAGGCTACGCACGGTGGGCTCATGCCTGTAATCTCAGCACTTTGGGAGGCTGAGGTGGGCAGATCACTTGAGGTTGGGAGTTCAAGACCATCCTGGCCAACATGTTGAAACCCCATCTCTACTAAAATTTTAAAAAAAATTAGCTGGGTGTGGTGGCACACATGCCTATAGTCCCAGGTACTCTGAAGGCAGGAGAACTTCTTGAACCTGGAAGGCGGAGGTTGCAGTGAGTCAAGATGATACCACTGCATTTCAGCCTGGGTGACAGAACGAAACTCTGTCTCAAAAAAAAAAGAAAGAAATAGAGACAGCCTCGAAGACCAGCCTGGCCCAAGTGCCCAGCAGGACGTAAAGGCCGCAGAGACCACCATAAGCCCAGAGTCTGGCTGTCCTTTCCCTTGTGGTCCTGTGCAGCTGGCCAGTCATTTCTTGGCAGCCAGAACTTCCTCTGATGGTTGCTCAGAGGAGTGCCTGAACTGAACTTAACATGAGATTTTGCGCAACCCTTAAATGAATTACCCGTGTGGACATCTCCCAGCCTCATGACACTGCAGGACACACTGTCAGCCCACGACAAAGGTCAGTGGGACGATGGACTTCACTGATTGAGGCAGTGCCTGAATTAAACCTGCTGGAGACCTTCTACAGGAAAGAGTGGTTAAGAATGCCCCTAGGATGATAATAATAACGATGGCGATAATAACAACACAAATGACTTCAGAGATATTGAGAGAATTAAGCAAAATGAAAAAAGGGGTCTTGGCACATAATAGCTATTCAACAGATGTTAATTCACTCTTTCTTTCCCTTTGGGAGGGCACATGCTTCATGAAAACACTCCCCCTCTTTCTTGTCATTCATTAATACTCCTTCTTTCCTTTGAAAAAAGGTCAGCCTCTTTTTCACTTCTCCCTCATTCCTCTCCCTGCCCCTCAAGGTCACATCCCACTTACTGTGAGCACAGCTGCCCTCTCCTGCCAGGATATTCACATTCGAGCAGCTCTACTCCCCTGCATAGAAGAGAAACAGTGGAGTTCATTATCCCTATTCATCTTCACGAGTTTTCTCTTTGTTATTAGAAAGATTTTTCTGTGTGCCATAAGAAAATTCCTAAGAAAAAAAAACACCCCTATCCTCAGAAACACGTTCTCTTTGCTCCGTCGGCCCTTACATATTTCCATTCGGATTGATTGCCTACCACAGCCTGTGAGCTTTTCAATATCAAATTTCAAAACAGAAACATAAAAGGGCAAACATGAAATGAGCAGCTCGATCCTGCCCTCCATGCTGGAAACACGCGTTCTTGAAGTGAAGGAGAGAGGGGTGTCTTGTCTCTCCCGCCTACATCATCCCCTAGGCTTCTGATGCGACTCTTCCTGTGGCCTTGACAGCAGGGTGGGGATAGCTTTTTCTGTGATCTGAGCACTGTGCTGGGCACCAAAGGGTACCCAAAAGTAGAGGACTTGGGGCATAAACGAATACTGAACTCTCCATTAAGATTCAAGGTGCACAGGCCAGGTGTGTTGGCTCACCCCTGTAATCCCAGCACTGTGGGAGGCCAAGGTGGGTGGATCACCTGAGGTCAGGAGTTCGAGACCAGGCTGAACAATATGGTGAAACCGTGTCTCTACTACAAATACGAAAATTAGCTGGGTGTGATGGTGGGCACCTGTAATCCCAGCTACTCAGGAGGCTGAGGCAGGAGGATTGCTTGAATCTGGGAGGTGGAGGTTGTAGTGAGCCGAGATTGTGCCTCTGCACGCCAGCCTGGGTGACAGAGTGAGATTCCATCTCAAAAACAAAAACAAAGACAAAAACAAACAAAAGATTCAAGATGCATATATGTAGGGGATCAAAACAAAGGGAAATATTGAAAAAAAATCATATTAAAATGCTAAATGAATACACATAACAATATTCACCACAGCGTGGCTGTAAAGTGATAGTCAGAGACTATGAAACAAGAGATAGGAAGGGAAATGTACCTGAAATGTAATGTGGTTGAGTCTGACCTCAACCTTTTCCACTCAAATTTATAGACATTATTCTGTAACAACCCATGTCTCTGTTAAAGGCAGTTACCAGTTATTTAGTCACTGCAGCCAGAAACCTAATTTCCCTTTCTACCTCACCCCAAGCCAAGTGGTCACCATGGCCTATCGATTTTCTCTCAAATATCACTAGAAGTGGATCCTTCTGTCTGATTCCCCGGCCCTTGTCTCTGCGGACTTTGATCATGGTTACCTGGATAACTGCAAACATCCTCTGGCTGTTCTCTTTGACTCTCGCCTCACCCACCTCCGATTCCTTCTTCTCACTGCTGTTGAAGTGGTCTTTCTGGAAAGCAAATGTGTTTGTGTTACTCACTTAAGTCTCTGAAAGTCAATAAGCAAACTCTTCAAAGTGACATTCAAGGACCTTCATGATCTGACCCCTCCCTACCTCCTGAATGTCGCAATTTGCTGTGTACCTACACTCACTTCGGACCTCAGCCTTTCTTTTCTACTGGAGGTTCCTTAAATAGTCTGTGTTCTCTTGTGCCTGCCTGTACCACTGTCTTTCCTGCTTGGAACAACTTCTCTATACTCCTTACTTAGTTCTCTTTGGCATGGTCTTCACAGTGTAGCTTGTGCATCTCCAGGGAAGGACGCCCAGACACCTTCTGCTCCATCCTTTCCCTAACAGGTTTTACTACCCTTGTCAGATCCCTCACTGCACTGCATGGTACCGGTGGCTGGTCTGTGCATCTTTCTCTATCCAGGACCTGACGCAGTACTTGGTTCAGGGCAGGGACCTCATAAAAATGGACTGAGTAGTGAACATTAGAAGGTAGCATGAGCCAGGCCATGAAGGTGGGAATGAGGCATAAGATCTCAGAATGCCAGGAACAAGAGAGAACTTGCACATTTTCAAGTCCAACATTCTCATCCTAGATGATGGAGAATGTGAGGTCTAGAAAGAGGAAGTGGCAGCTGGGCGTGGTGGCTCATGCCTGTAATCCCAGCACTTTGGGAGGCTGAGGCAACAGATCATGAGGTCAGGAGTTTGAGACCAGTCTGGCCAGCACAGTGAAACCCCGTCTCTACTAAAAATACAAAAAATTAGCTGGGTGTGGTGGTATGTACCTGGAATCCCAGCTAGTCAGAAGGCTGAGGCGGGTGAAGCACATGAACCCGAAAGGCAGAGGGTGCAGTGAGCCGAGGTTGTGCACTGCGCTCCAGCCTGGGCAATAGAGTGAGACTCCATCTCAAAAAGAAAAAAAAAAAAAAAAGAAGAAGAAGTGGCTTCCCAAGTGTACATAGGCAGTATTAATGTTAACAGGTGGTTTATGATAGGAGAACCTTGAAAGCAAGAGGAATCAAAGTGGATCATGACAGTGAAAGTCAAGATCAAAGTATAGAATTGGTAAAACAATTTAGGAACAGGATGGGATGTCGGAGAAATGATGACATCCTAGAGATGGAAAGAAAATGGGGAATTAGATTAATCCCAGCTGAGCAGCCATGAGTTCTGAAGCTGGATGATTCCACAGACCAGGTAAGTCCTACTGGAAGCCAGGGAGTGAGAGGTAGCTGGGCATATAGTGAACAGGCTCGGGGGACAGACAGACTCAGCAAGAGAGAAACCAGATCCCATGTCACTTTTTGAGACATATTCCTCCTATGGCATTGCTTCTTGATGACCCAATCTCTATCCCTTATATCTGAGCCCAACTCTATGTTAAATTACCATGCTTCATGACAGGTGTAGAGTTGGACCTAATAGCCATCTACAGATGGAATGAGCTTAGCACAGGGAATATTGGTGAGCCTGGTCGAATCACGTCTAGTGAACTAGGGAGATAGGATAGTGATCCTGATTACTTTGGGAAGGCCTAGAATGTTGGGGTGAACAATTTATATTTTTTGCTGTGGAGCATAGGGACTCATTATAGGCTTTTGACCTGAAGAAGGGCTGGTTCCAACCTAGAACCTTTTCATACATCATTCCTCGGGAACTTCATTCACACTTGCTCTTCTTTCTGTTTAGAATACTCTTTTCCCTAGATGTTCTGTGATTTGCTCTCTTACCTCCTCAGATCCCCCCTGTTCAGAAGTCATGACATTAGTATAGCCTTCCCTGACCACTCTAATTTGCACACTCTCTATTCCCAGCCTACATGATCATGAGCTGTTTCTCCATTGCACCCATCACCCTCTCACCTATTATAAATATTTTCCCTTGTTTATTTGTTCATTGTCTGTCACCACTTGCTAGAATGCAAGCTCCATGAGGGCAGGCATTTTTGTCTGTTTGTTCACTCCTGTATTTTCTGCACATGGCACATCACAGGGGTTCACGAAACGTGCTGAATAAACCTAAGACTGTACACAGGAGTTATTGGAATAGAGACAGTTTATAGCATTCTCCTCCCCTCCTCTGTGATGGGATCACAGCAGGAAGACCCAGAGTACCATGCAAGATCACCACTTTGTGCCTGCGAGTAGATACCACTTGCTTCATCTCAATTTCCTGGTTTTCCATCCTGGGTCTACCCTAATATCTAGGGCCTTCCCTTCCCATTCTAATGTTTGTTATTAATTCTGACCAAGCAGGAATTGTCACTAGCGGGTTGTTTCTCACAAATTATACCTACTTAGACCCAGCCTCTGTTTAACTGATGGAGAAGGAATCATTAAGAGGAGGAAGGAGACTCTCTTTCTTCTTGTTCCTCAGTAAGTCACATTCTGATGGTAAGGTGCCCTCTTTCTGTTGGTCTGACATCAATGGATTATGGGCAAGGAAGGGGTTTACAAGCAATTTAAAGCAAGGACCACTCCCTTCCGCTTTTCCTCTGTGATGTCTCACAATGCTAGGTACCCAGAGTCATTTCATATATATTTGATACGGTTTGGCTGTGTCCCCATCCAAATCCCATCTTGAACTGTAGTTCCCATAATTCTACATGCCATGAGAGGGACCCTATGGGAGGTAATTGAATTGTGGGGACAGTTACCTCCAGGCTGTTCTTGTGATATTGAGTGAGTCCTAACAAGATGATGATTTTATAAGGTTATTTCCCCACCTCCCTTTGCTTTGCACTTCTCCTTGCTGTGGCCACGTGAAAAAGGACATGCTTGCTTCCTCTTCCACCATGAGTGTAAGTTTCCTGAGGCCTCCCCAGCCCTGCAGAACTGAGTCATTTAAATCTCTTTCCTGTATAAATTACCAAGTCTTAGGTATGTTTTTGTTAGCAGCATGAGAATGGACTAACATTCGTATATGTTAACAAAAAGAAGAGAGCAGTGACCATGTTCTGGGAGAAAGAGATGCTTGAGACAGGTATCACCTCTCAGATGATACTGTTTGGGTGGCACCTGCTTTTTCACCTGAGCCCTGGGAAAATGGATCAACTCTTCCCTTCTAGCACATCTTTGCCAGACTTTGAGTGATGCTCCCCCTACCTGCCAACCTTTAAAGCAGAGATCTGGACAGAGATTCTCTGACTTTGGTCCTTCCTTTTTGAGATTCCTTTTTTTTAAGTTATTGTTACCTTCCTTGAAAGCCAAGATCTCATGGTCTGATAATTCCCAAGAGTACCCACTATAAAATACTGCCTGCCCCAATTTTCCTTGCCCAAAGCCTTTCTCTAGACATACCTGTCAACCCCCGAGCTGCCTTTCCTCTCGCAGGCTTGCCTGTTTGTGAGATCCCATACTCTTTTCTTGGCTCTCTTAGCCTTAGCTATTTGCAGCAGGCCACTCCCTAAATTCCTCTTATCAATTTAACAGGCATGCATTGAATACCTGTGCCAGACACTGGGGGTGTGAAGACAGATTAACTCTGGCCTCTGCTCTGGAGACTCTTACCTTCTGGTGGAGTAGGCGCGGGATCAGGCATTCATCAACCAGTGGGCTGGGTGCTGTAGTCCAGGCAGGAAGAGGCACTTTCAGAGCCTGGGGGCACTGAGGCAACAGCAACTCACTCTTCCTGGGGCCTCAAGGCTGTTATAAAGGAGGTAATCTTTGAACAGGGTCTCCAATCATCTAAGTTTCTTTCCTGTATTTGACTTCTGATCACATTTTTGGCCCTTGGAATTTCTAACCATATATTTCAACTTCTGGATCTTCAACAGGTTCCCCAATAAGACTATTCTGTCTCTTTCTGTCAATTTCAGAGACTTAACACATCTCAGCTCCTCTTTTACTTCATTTCTCTCTGTAATACTTCACTTGTCCCTTGATACATTCAGCCTGGCACTTGAGAGCCTATTTATTTTCTCTTGGGTACTCCACTCACTAACAGGATCTGCGGCCATCTCCTTCACATTTCATTTTCTTTGATTACTGTCTCTCTGAGGAGAGGAGCTACAAAGTAGACATGGAGTGCATTTTGCCAATTACAGATGGACAAAATAAAGTCCCAAGGTGTTCAATCACTTTTCCGGTCTTCTACTCATTAAGGAGTTCAGGACTCTAGCGCTTGCTTCTAGGTGAATTCCTGGTTGGACATCTGTTTCCTGGTGGAATTGAGGAATAGAGATGATTCTTTCCTGTTACGAGAGCCCCAGAAAGCAGTCCTGTAGTTAGTTAGGGAGGAATGGAGTAAGGTCTTCAGTCTAATCCTGAATGGTATTTTTTTTAGTGGCTGCTATTTTTAAAAAATATTTTTATTTATTATTTATTATACTTTAAGTTCAGGGGTACATGTGCAGAACATGCAGGTTTGCTACATAAGTATACATGTGCCATGGTGGTTTGCTGCACCCATCAACCCATCATCTACATTAGGTATTTCTCCTCTATTAGTATTTCTCCTAATGCTGCCCCCTAACCCCCGAAAGGCCCCAGTGTGTGATGTTCCCCTCCCTGTGTCCATGTGTTCCCATTGTTCAACTCCCACTTATGAGTGAGAACATACAGTGTTTTGTTTTCTGTTCTTTTGCTAGTTTGCTGAGAATGATGGTTTCCAGCTTCATCCATATCCCTACAAAGAACATGAACTCATCCTTTTTTATGGCTGCAGAGTATTCCATGGTATCTATGTGCCACATTTTGTTTATAAAGTCTATCATTGATGGACATTTGTGTTGGTTCCAAGTCTTTGCTATTGTGAACAGTGCCACAATAAGCATATGTGTGCCTGTGTCTTTATAGTGGAATGAATTATAATCCTTTGGGTATACACCCAGTAATGGGATTGCTGGATCAAATGGTATTTCTAGTTCCAGATCCTTGAGGAATTGCCACACTGTCTTCCACAATGATTGAACTAATTTACACTCCCAACAATATTGTAAAAGCATTCCTATTTATCCACAGCCTCTCCAGTATCTGTTGTATCCTGACTTTTTAATAATTGCCATTCTTACTGGCGTGAGATGCTGAATGGTAATTTTTAATGGTGGAAAAGGTAACAACTGGTACAAGAGGTGAGGCTTCTGTTTTCAGGAGGTTTCTGTGACCAGTGTTCTTGGAGGAAGGACAGAACTCAACAAGACACCATCTTTTGCCTCAGTCAAGGACGGAGCAGTAGTCCCAGAAAGAGGGAACCCATACAGTGAGTTAGGTAGCATAAAACCAAGGCTACTTTGGAAACTGAAATAGGACTCCTCAGAATGGAGGCCAATTAAAATTTAAATCCTTGAATGTGTGAGGTTCTGGCTCATGAGGAGCTCCTGGAGTTTGTGGAGAAGTCTGTAAGTTTCCACCACGCCTTGCCATGGGTAGGTGGAGGGCATCGTCTGTGCCCTTTTCAGAGCATCCAGATGCCCTGGAGCCAGGCAAAGTTTAGGTCAAAGGGTGCTGACTCTTTGCCCCTCTGTCAGAATGTCCAGTCAGCCACGGCAGGCTGGTGACCCATGGACCACACTGCACACAGATCAGAATCTCAGTGTATGCATGAAGGTGGCCTGGTTTATGCCTCTACTCCATGCTAGGTAAGGGAGCCTGGGAGGAAGGTGTGGGTATGTTGGTAGAAGGAGAGAGAAAGAGCTAAAATTCTGGACAGATACACTAACCCTGAGGCATGAGGTTGGCCTTCTCTGGAGTCCTAGGGCAATGGGGACATTGGATCCTTGCTGAGAAAAGCTTAGAACTATGTCCTGCTGTGTAATTACTGTAGAGAGGAAGTTAAGAGCAGAGCTTCTAACAGGAAGGAAATTCCTGTTACTTGATATATTTGAATACTTGATATATTCAAAATATCAGTTCAAGATGTAATCAATATAAAAAAATCAATGAGACATTTTACGTCTTTTTTCTTTTCACACAAAGTTTTTGGAGTCTGGTGTGCCTTCTACACTTACAGCACATCTCTGTCTGGGGAAAAGAGCACAGGTCTGGAAGTCAGGAAATGTGTGCCCCAGTGCAGGTCTGACCCTCAGGAAGGCTGTGGTTTTGAGCAAGCCTCTCAGTGCCTCTGGGCCTCAGTTTCCTCTTTTCAAAATATTTTATTTCATTTTTATAGAGTCAGAGTCTCCCTTTGTTGCTCAGGCTGGAGTTCAGTGGCAGACTCTTACAGCTCATTGCAGCCTCTTACTCCTGAACTCACACAATCCTCCCACCTCAGCCTCCAGATTTGCTAGAACTACAAGTGCACCCTACCATACCTGGCTGATTTTTAAAACTTTTAACAGAGACGGGGGTCTTGCTATGTTGCCAAGGCTGGTCTCCCATTCCTGGTGTCACACAGTCCTCCCACCCCAGTCCCTACTTTCCTTTTTTAATGGGATGTAGGGGATGATTCCATGCAGATCACAAGGTAGTCAATAGATTAAAAAAATGGGCTCTTCAGGCACACCTGCTCTGTTCTGGGGAGGTCTCACAACTGTTTTCTTAGAAGCTGGATAGAAGGACCTAAAACAGTACCGTCCCACAGAAATAGGCCAGCTATAGGGGCAAGCTACACATGTCCCTTTAAATTTTATTTTTCAAACATTTATTTTTTAACTGGCCAAAAATATATACATTCATGGTGTACAGCACGGTATTTTGAAATACGTATACATTGTGAGATGGCTAAATCAAGCTAATTAACATACGCATTACATCACTGGCTTATCCTTATTTGTGTGTGTGGTAAGAACACTTAAAATCCACTCTTTTTAAATTTTCAAAATGCCACATTTTAAAATGTAAAAAGGGACAAAGTTAATTTTATTAATAGTATTACATTCAATTGAACTTGATATATTCAAAATATCAGTTCAAGATGTAATCAATATAAAAAAATCAATGAGACATTTTACATCTTTTTTCTTTTCACACAAAGTTTTTGGAGTCTGGTGTGTCTTCTACACTTACAGCACATCTCATTTCGAATTTGCCTCATTTCATTTAGCTTAGAGCTACCTCTGGCTACTGGCCTTTATGGTGGATAGCAAAGACTCAGAGGACTGGGTCGCAGCTGTTCAGGCAGCTACACAGTTAGCCAATGCTCCCCACTTCTTTTGAAGAGGGCTTCCTGGAAGTGGTGAAGCCTCGATTGAGTTTTGAAGTCCAATGAGCAAGGAGAGGGGGCAGAACATGATAGCTCATGCCTGTAATCCTAGCACTTTGGGAGGCTAAGGAGGGTGGAGATGTCAGGAGTTTGAGACCAGCCTGGCCAACATGGCAAAACCCCATCTCTACTAAAAATACAAAATTTGCCAGGTCTGGTGGTGTGCGCCTGTAACCCCAGCTACTCAGGAGGCTGAGGCAGGAGAATTGCTTCAACCCACGAGGTGGAGGTTGCAGTGAACTGAGATTGTGCCACTGTACTTAGCCTGGGTGACAGAGTGAAACCATGTCTCAACAATAAAACAAAATAAATAAGCAAGAGGAGGACCTGGGAGGCTAACTATAAGAGGAAAAATGACAAACACAAGGGTGGAGAGGCAGCAGCAGGCAGGCCCACCTCCTTGGGACATTTCCCACTCATGGATAAAGGAAGCCCTCATCACTTTTAGAGGCTAGGGTCCAATTCCACTCCTTGCTCGGGGTTCACATCCAATTTGCACTTGTCTGCATCATGTATTTACCTTTTTTATAATCTCCCGAGCCAAAGGCATGCAGACATGATAAGGATCCGTTCATTTGGCCCCTGCTTTCTGGTTACCTCTCGCTTGATTCCCTGCAGGTCCTCTGCTACCCCAGTTTGTGCCTCAGTATCTCCTTCTATAAAATGGAGTTAATAATATCTATTCTTGCCTCACCTCCACTCCAAGGAAAAGTGCAGATTCAAAGAAGCATTAACATGTATGAAAAGTGTTTAAATCAATGTGGAACAAGGAGCTTCAACACAAAGTGTTTAATTAATCATTTGGTTTTTCAAATCTACAAACTCCTTTAAACAGGTCTGTGGGATGAAGAATTCTAGGGGCCGCATGGAACTGACCTTACAAATAATTTGGGATGTCCTCATTCCACATGCATCGGCTCTGTGGAGATCACTATCCATGGCATAAACAGAGCAGGGCTATGTCTGATTGAGGAGAGGTGCTGATTCCACCCCAGCATTGTCTCAGGGCCCTGTTGGGCATGCATTCTTCTGTAATATCCAAACAAGCACTTTCCTCCCTTCCCTGTAATAGAAACAACCTGTGACCTTTACAATATCAGTCTCCTGGAAGAATAGTGCCTGTTACTTTTCAAAGCTGTGATGTGCCAAGCCTCTGCATGGAAACCTACAGCCATGGCCTTTTTTAAAAATAGCATTTCATATAGCCGACATGCTTCATTCTTAACAATTACATTTCTCACCTAGCAGCTTAACTGGATTTTTGTTTAGTAACTTGAACATGTCTTTTCACTGGAGAGCACTATGAGATTCTGAGAGACAACAACAAGATCTGAGATGATGAAAACAGAGATATACAAGGGGTATGACTCCCATTTTTTTTAAAAAAAGGAATGGTTTGGGTCCTCAGACTGGGGGATGGGACCCTGTATTTTTAATTTCCATAAAAACGGATGGGACCTTTTACATGCCTTCCCCTAGCTTGCACAGATATCTTATGATTCCCATTAGTTTCTTTGCTTATTTCTCCCCTTAGAAGAGAGATCCCTCTGGGTATAACTGAGGAGGGGGATCTTCTTGATGCAATTTTAGAAAGCAGGATCTTTGGTCCCCGAAGGGAGGACATTGGCTTTAGGAGAAGCCAACTCTCTGATCTAGGAGGCTCGTAGAGATGCAGCTTCCTAAGGGTTGGTCCTCCCTCCTGAGTTCCTGATGCTGCAATTGTAAGTTGCAGTGAGGTTACTGGGAGGAATTGTGCCTCCACGGGGAAACTGTGTGGGTACATATGCGGGAGTTCAAGCTGCACTTTCTCTCATGGTTCATCATGAACAAAGCACATTTGTGTCTACTTTATTCATCGCTACGGTCCTACAAGGTAGAGTCTCAGCCCCATTTTACGGGTAAGGTCACAGAAGTTAAAGAAAAGTAAGGAAACAGTCCCACTTTCATGGTTACCTAGTGGCTCCACTGGAATGAAAGTTAGCTCCTGAGAACTTAAAGGAGGCATTTTTGGGGTATTAATAAAAGGACAGTTAACTTCACAAGGTGGAAAATGGGTCTCA